AGTAATAGAATTTTATACTGTACATTTTTAATTTATAAAATAATATAAAATAATATAATAATTTTGATTTAGGTACTTAAATAACTTTAATACTTAATTCTTGAAGTAACAATGAAATTTAAAATTTTTAAAATATATATATTTGTAAAAAATTAGCATTATTTCCAATTTCGGGTAGTAAACTACCTATTAAATGATGCACTTGACCCTGAATTTTAAAAGAGGGCATGAAGTTCCCTTCAGCTATTTCGTTTGCTCCAAACGATGTCATTTGAAACAGAGTATTATACCGTCTAGAATTATCAAATAAATGTTTTGATAGAGGGTGAGAATTATCAATTAAACTTTTAATTAGGTCTGGAAGATCCTCAAATTGGTATAAAACAACTTTACCGTCAGCGCAGCAAAGTCCATGGGTTTCATCTTTCCATTTTTTTTGCATGGCACTTAGGACATAATATAGTCATTCACCCAATTTGAAGCGCTTTAATATTTAAATAATCAATCTCGGATTGATAATATAGGTACACGCACAATATAGGTACAATTGTTTTTAATTTTTTATGAACTTTTATGAACTTTTTTACTGACAAAAGTGGTACTAAAACCTTCAGCAGAGTGTCGGGTTTCAGCCAAATCGGTTCAGTAGTTTTCTCGGTTAGCGCGGTCGAAGAAAAACCCTTACAATTTTATATATAGTATAGATAGATTATAATAAAATTCTGATATTTAACTCTTGTATTTTTGATTCACTTTTAGTAGCTATAATAGTAAGCTATATCGATAACAAAAGGTATAATTTTTTTATTGATAATAATAAAATGAATCATTTTATAAGACTATGAAAATATATCCTCTTCGTGAAGTTACAAGCATAACTTATGATCAACACGGTAGTTTGCTGGTAGAAATTGAACTTTTTAAAGTGTGACCAGTAGAATTTGAACCTCAATATTGGACGCAAATATCAATGTTATTGCTTTACTTAACAAGCTTTTTTCTGATATACCTAGCAGTATACAAATATTAGAATGCACCATTTGTACCACAAAAACCTTATTTTATAATGCAAAAATAATACTCAATGAATTGTTTAATAGTAGTGGACGGTTAGAAGATATAAATACATATTTAAATAAATATGTAACGGAAAAAAAAATAAAAATAGTAACCAAACTGCGAAAATATAAGTAGAAATTATATAAGAGTACTGCAGGAACATGTTTTATTGAAAACAGATGTTTTTAAGGATAATACGATAAATGAAAATAAAATCTTGGTCGATGATGTACCATTAAATTTGTTTGCTGGAAAAGAAAGGTAAACAGTTATATACTAAAAAGAACTATTCATATATATTTAAGGAGGTAATTTATTATAAACTACTAAGTTTTTACTGCAGTCAATAATTTCGTACATTGGAGATGTAGATGTAAAAAACATGGGTCACTATGTAACACACTGCAAACGAATTAAAGGTTATTGGAAAATACATAATAACTTGGTAAAAAAAAGAACAAAATATAAGTGTACAGAATCCAAATATGTGAAACCACATCTATTATTTTATATAAAAACTAGCTGAATTATCCGTCGTTGCCGGGTTTAAGTATATAAATGTATGTAACCTGCCAAGATTAAATTTTGTTAAATCTAATGAAATTTAAATTAATTAAGATTTTTGAAATAATATTTTATACATATTAATTTAGTTATTATCATAACCTATTCAATAAGTTATAGCTTACAACTACCTGAACCTCTCTACAGTTTGGTATTCTGTTGAATACATATAGCATCTCACTTCTCCGAATATTTTACCTTTTGTCAATAAGCATGGTCTTTTTGACTTTTAACCGAAACACTCTTGCAATTATATCATGTCGATCATTGACCGGGAAGTAAGAGCTCTTTTATCTCGTCCCAGCAAGGATTACATGTAAAAGTAATAAAAAGGTCAGGACGACCGTAATGTCTAACGTAGGTCATAGCATCTTGTGTTCTTTCGTGCATGTACCTTGGCCCACCAGTAAAAGTTGACGGGAGTATAACCATTTGGCCTAACTGATTAGCTTCTATGTCTCGTCGTCCAATCGCATCTTTTAAATGAATATAACTATCTGCACGCAATTTGGCTTGGTTGTTTTTGATGTAATTTAGTCTTTCAGTTTCAATTTTGGCGTATTCATCTACCAAATATTGACTGAAAAGAGAACGATAATTAACTAAATATTTGTCTTCCCCTTCTCTGACCATTATTTTATATGAGTAAAAACTTGATGCAGAGACAGTTTTTTTAAGCGGTAACTTGGTTTTTGGATCACGTTGTGGTATATTGATTGCAAACCCATAATCCCCCCCAACAAAACATTAAAGGATACTGCAGTGCGTCGTATGCTCGATGTATCTCACTGATACGGTGAAGTGAGTTACTTCGGTTTTCGAGGATGATGTCTCTTCAATCAAACTGCTGATCTACTAACACTAAAGCAACTTCATTTGCCGTTGGTGCATTATACCTGCCTCTATGTTCTTCTGGTGGTTTTTTATCTGCATGTATTACAACTTTAAATGACTCTGAAGGAGGTATTTTATCGATGGTAAATTGTAATGATCAATTGTAAATTATGCGGTGGCATGCCTAGTAAATCCAATGAGTTTAAAAACTCTGTTGGATAATTTACAACTTCAGTAGCATCGCAAACTGTATCTAGATTTGTATGACACCAAGTTTTCTGGTAACAAATTTTGTATCTTGAGATTCAATTCGTTGACCTTCACATTTTTTGCTACTAAAATTGCTCTTTCTGCCAGCCACTCATGATTTGTGTATTGTCTGTGTACACTGGGACATATCTGGTCAATGAGAGCATCTTGCGAATAAATGATTGTGCAGAAATCGTTCGGTAATTTTATACATCCCGTTTCATCTGTAGTAACTTTCCCATCTCCAATATCTAACAATTGTTTTGAGAATCTTTTGCACGCAGCTTTTTTTGATTGAATCGAAATCGAAGTATCGAAATCGTTCGCTATCTATCTTTATACATATTTCGACCATGAATTGTTGACAAAGCTTATGCATCGTAAAATAACTTAGTCCTGATCGCGTCTAATCATCAACCGATATGCATCATAATTTTTTGAACTAACATTCTTATTTGTTTTGGCACCTGTTGCGGGATCTTTTTGTTTAATATTTATGTAATACCCGTCATTTACTACCAAAAATAAAATTAATAGTTTTTAAATAGTTTTTAATAGTTTTTTAATAATTTTTTAATAGTTTTATTTAATATAATTAATTTTCAATAGCGCAGTTATCGACCTGGTCAAAAAATATTAAACCGATTTCAACCCTTTAAATTCAAAATTTCGAAAAATCCTTTCTTAGCGCACGTTTACATCATAATAGCTATCTGTATGCCAAATTTCAGCCAGATCCGTCCAATGGTTTGAGCTGTGCGTTGATAGCAGTTAATCAGCTTACTGTTTTATATATACAGATGTTCATAAATTGAGTATGTTATAAAACATATTTTAGCCTAATCGAATAAAAATAAAAGTAAAATTCAAGTTAATTAAGTCATATTTATACAATCCCGATTTTTTTTTTTAAATATAGATTTCTTTTCTTCAATTTACGAAATGTTCTAGGTGAGTTGATTTAATTGGGTGATTTTATAAACTACAATCTTAACTTTTTTATAAAGATATCTTCTTAGAGAAATCCATCGGTACTCAAAATTGATGAGGTTACAAATTCTAAAAAGTTGGTTACAAATAGTCACTAATTGAGTTTTATATGTTACAATTTGTTTTGGACGATTTCGTTGAATTGGGGGGTGGGGCTGCATGAAGTTAGCCTCTCATTGAGAAAGTACCCGGAGCTTAAAAAAATGAGGTTAAAAATTCTAAAAACTTGGTAACAAATAGTTACAAATTAAGAAAATAAGGTTACAATTATTTTGGAAAGTATTTTTTATAATTGTCGGGCTAACTTCACACACGTCAATTTTACCTATTTTTTTTTTCTTTCGGAGTTTACAGTAAAAAAAGGTACTTGTGGCGGAGTTTATACGCGCCCCTAATAATATATAGTAACTAAACTCTGTTGTTGGACATGATAACTTTAATTTAATGATCAAATACTTGTAGAATGTCGAAAGCAAGGCTTTGCACCCGAATAATTTTTTCGGGTTTCGGGTGTTGAATTTATTCGGGTGTTCAAACACCGCAATCCAACATTTAAACAAACGTTTGGGTGTTAATAACCGTTATTATTCGGGTTAATATTGTTAATACGGCTGTTAAGTATTCAAGGAAAAATATTATTTTTCTTTGGTGGAGGGTGGTTGGGTAGCTGAGTACCCCCTCCAATAATGAAATATTTATATTTTTTGTTACCTGCCTATGTAATAAAATATCAATTTCTTATACAACTGTGCAACAGTTTTTTAAATTAATCTATCCTTATGTTAATTTCAATTAATGGTGTAACTACGATTTATTTTCGGGGAAGAGGGGATTATTTAATATGTGTATGAAGCTTATAAATTATAATATCTATTAAAATTAAAAATACTAACACTATGTCCTACTCCTAGTTAGTGCGGGCATATCGCATGCGACAAAAAACAAACTATTTCGTATTCCGAGTTTGTGTTTGTGGTATAGGCAAAATCGGGGGGTACTTGAGGGGACTAAGCCCCACCCCCAGAAATATAAAGTACAAGTCTTAGCTCCCCTAGCCCTAAAAATTGTTAAGTGACTAAAAATACAATAATTATTATAATTGTAAAATACATTTTTAATAGCTGAATTAAAAAAAAATATTGAGTGATAAAAATTAAATCAAATTCGTAAGATTTTACAAACTTCTTGTCATGACTTGGAACGATCTCAATTAATGTAATATTAATAATATGTTATAATACCCGTATAGGTTGTTTAATTTAATTAATTAATAATTTCTGTTTAGAATACCTACTCCAAAAATGTTTAAGATAAGGCACCTTGTTCGAACGAGCTATTCGTATCTGGCCACAACAACCGGTTCACTCCGATAACATGCAGACGATGGAATTTTCGCGAACTTTTCGGTCGGCGCACTTCATCGCGCTGGCATCACGCTCCGAGGCGGCACTTGCGAACAGGTAAACGGGTTGCGCAGATCGTTTGTGCCAAATTGTATTTTGTGTGTTTTTTTTTGTTGTCTTCCTGTTGGAGATTGTCATCACGTGACTATGCGAGACACAGTACTATCTCCTACGCCTCCGTTACGAGTGTTTGGTTGGGCCGTTCCATAGGCCAAATAGTTGTGCCGTGGTCCGTCATTTTCGTGTGCGTGGCTTGTACTTTCCACATCGCCATTCAGGCCATCGGCAGTGTCACCGTCGTCGAGGTTGGTCGCGTCCAGTGAGCTGTTCCGAAGTAGTCGACATCCGTCGGTCTTGGTGGCTGTCGCACGTGCTGTGCGCACGGTCGCGTGGGCGCAACCACACAGACCATAAGACCGTTCGAGGTATTTATGATCACAACCGGTGACGCGTAGCGTGACCTGAACTCTTTTATTGTTCAAAATGTATTATTATAATTATTGTTAATTTTTTTAATTAAATTTTTTAATTTTTAATTGTATAGTTATTTTCATCGTTATTATTATAGGATATTTATTTTAATATAAGTTAACGGTACCATAATTTATGTTATTTACTCAATCTGAGGCTACCTCTGTCCCTCATTTCCTTTTGCTGATTGACGTTATAGTCGGGTTTATTTCAGGTGTAGCGAAGCCGTTGGATTACCTCTGTCCGACCATTGAGGTTTCGCGTACACACCTAATTTTTTTTTTTGTTTAAATTGTTGATTAAAAATGTCAAATTGTCAAACTTCGTAAATTGCCTTGTTGAAATAAATAATTGCGCACAATGGTATCTATAGGTGTAATAAAAAAATAATGCTCAGCCCCCACAAATTTCACCGAATTTCCGTTTATGGTTTATGGTGCGTGCACACACTAAAAACGCACTAGCTAGAACATAGCGTAATACAAAAATAATAATTTATACTATTGAATGTTACAATGAAATTATTACACCAACAAAAATTGACAATTCACGCCATAGACATGTCTACTACACGTCATACACTGAACAAATACGAATAACGCGAACAATAATTTAAGTAATCATACGCGTGACATCATTTCTATTTCAGACTTAGGCTCGGGCCACACTATGCGTTTTGTCGGTTGCCGATGAACCGCATCCCGATAAACCGCAATCGGGAAGACCGACCACACCACTACGCGTTTTATCAGTTGCTGATTTAAAAAGCGCGGAAAATATTTTAATTCAATATAATATGTTCTTGGAAATATTAGAGTACTGTGATATTATATTTGATTTCAACGAAATTTAGCTGGTTTATTATTATATTATTACTATATACTGCTAAAGATAGACCTATCATAATAATCAGATTGTAGACTTTTCATGATAATTATATTGTTTTATAAACTAATATAGAATAAGAAACCTTAAATATGTATATAATATTTTAAATGATTTGATTTCGACGAAATGTGTATTGGTAAACCGCAACCGATAATCCGCAAGTTTGGTCGGCACAATACGAAATAAAGTGTTTTGAAGTACTTGCCGAAACGCATCGGCAATGCCAAACCGCAACACGTTACGGTTCGTCCCGACGAGTTTTAAATCGGTTAGCTGAATCGATCAGTGTGGCCCCGAAAATGCCGTTTATTAGTTATTTATATGTTATTTATGGATGTTGCGGTCGTTTATCGATCGGTTCCGGATTATCGGCAACCGACAAAACGCATAGTGTGGCCCTAGCCTTACGGTATTGCAATAAATAATGACTCGGTGATTCGTAGAACTACCGATTAAATTACCTATTAAATTATAATAATACGACGTATCCGCTTGGGATAATTTTAAAATTAGTATCTCAGTTGTTTACACTTGAACATTGAACATACCATTCATGCACACCTGTCATTGGTCAATTGTTATTGTCTTTATTTAGATACATTTAGATTAATTAACAATTTTGTATATTATTTGTGAAATTATTCCTGTGAATAATAATTTTACAATTAAACAACTAATGACAAAATTGAAATAACCACAACAAATATATACAAAATGATATGTCACATAAAGATAGTAAAATAAAAAATTATTCGGGTATTGGGTTAAAACCAATATTTTATTCGGGTTTTGGTTAATTCGGGTGTTTAAAAAAATAATCATTCGGGTTATATGGGCTTTGGGTGTTTAATTTTTTAAGGGTTTTTAGGGGTGTTACGGGTTCGTGTTAATTCGGGTGCAAAGCCCTGGTCGAAAGCATGTTGATTTACTTGTATTTAAACATTTAAAAATCAGGATACACTCTGTTAAGTACTGCTGGAGTATACTTGAAAGTAATTATAATTGAATGAGTCTTATTACATTTTTATAACTATTTCATATACTTTTGAATGAATAGCACATTTTTTATGTACAAAATGCGCAATAAGTAATGAAAGTCAATAAAATGCCTTATACTTATGTATGTAAAAATAAAATATTATGTAATTACGTAGTCTTGTAGGAATGGCAATCTCCACAACGTATATGGAAGTAAATAATAATCATTCTAATCGAATATAAAACGATATTAACCGTCTTGTGAACTATTTCCGATAAGAACTTTATAAGCTATAATATATTTTATCAATTAATTACTCACAAATACATATATGACGCGTCACGTATTGTAATAAAGAAGCTCCAGTCATACAATGGAAATTGTTTATTTGTAAAATACTAAAACGTTTATTAAAATGTCAAATCGATATACATTGGTTATAGGAACGTCCAAATATTCAAAAACAAGCATTCGAAACATAAGAATCTGCTGCCCGATTTAACAGAACAACAATAATTAAAACTTTTTTTTTATTTAAGTTTGATTATTCGTTTAAATTATAATCATGTTTTCATTCATTCATGTGATAATTATGTTACAATCAATAGCTACAAGAAGCCTGATAACCTTATAGTGAACCGAATTTAACCGAATAGGTCACACGTTTGTTTGATGAATATATTAATGAATAGCTAATAAAAAATATTAACTGTAACTGTAAATCACGAATTTGATTCAGCATACAGTTTTATTTGTATGTATATTATAATATAATATCGGATGCGAGGGCAGATATTTCATACGTAATCCCGCTTCACAGTGGTCTGAAATCCAATTTAGGTGGAAAAAAGTACATTTTTAAAGTACAATGAATTAATATTTTTTTACAAAAAACCTATATGTATATCCTACACAACATAAATGTAGTACCTCAGATAATATTAAGTGTATACTAACACACTTTAACACACACTATTATCTGAGGTTCTACATTTATGTTGTGTAGGATATACATATAGGTTTTTTGTAAAAAAATATTAATATAATTGTTTATGTTTTATCAATTCATTTGTTTGTTATTTTATGTTATCATTTTCGTGCGATGCGTAGCGGTGCGTTACGTATCCGCAGCCTTCGTCGGCGGCGATGATAAGCCTCCGTGTGCGACCGGCCGGGCACGCAATCGCGCTGTTATCATCGCATGAAAATGTCGTTATTCCACGTTTTAAAATTTTATCGGTTATGTTTCGTGTAAGTTTCAAGTCATGCTCTCAGTGCCACTAAGTTCATTAATTTCGAGTGTTTTTCAACTTTGTGTGGTGGCACTGGGGCATTTTATCTTCATTGTGGTGTCCGGCGGCCTTAGCCTTCGTGGTGAATGTCGTCGGCCCCATCTCGCTCTCGTTTTCGTGTCTTCGAGGTGTGCACATCAAATTTTATTTCGTTTCAAGTTTTCGTACGTCCGCAGCTATTTTCATTCAAACCATGTTTTTTTTAGTAGCATTTTCGTTTTGTGAATAACGTGGTTTTCATTCATTGTTTCATTGTCCAGGGCTGTGGACCATTGCAGTTTTTTCGTTGGTGACTGTGCTTGAGTGGTCGCACGTACCAATTCTGTGATTTATTTTCATTTATACACTGCGGTGTGCCGTCATAGGCAAATGTCTGATCACAGGGTTGGTGCGGTCGCGTGGATGGAATCAGCCATTTCAACATAGTCACAAGTGAGTATTGGTTGACCATATTTGTTTCATTTGTGTTTAAAGGCCGACGGGCCTAGCCGTCGAAGGCACATTATTATTATATTGTAATTTATTATTTCGTGAGTGCCGTGTGGGCAACACATTTTATTTATTTATTTAGTTACCATTTGGTTTTGCATTAACATTATTATTATCAAATTTCTTTCATAATCCAATTATACAGTCCACTTAAAATTCAATTTGTCTTTTTCTATGTTTTATATCTACTTATTCATTTCAAAACAATGTTGAGTTCCCCCTGAGTGGTTATTGCTATTACCAGGGTAAAACTTCTACCAATAATATACATAAAAATAAAACTATGCTGAATCAAATTCGTGATTTACAGTTACAGTTAATATTTTTTTTTAGCTATTCATTAAACAAATGTGTGACCTATTCGGTTGTTATACTTAATCTATTGTATTAATTCAAGTTTTGTCGTTCATTCCACTCGTATTAATTAGTTATATTTTACATTTTTACGTATTTTCGAATGGGAATTGGATTTCGAAAACCAAGCTAAGTTCAATAACTATAATATATTTTTTATGATGTTAGGTATAAAATATAATTGGAAAATTAGTAAAAAAAAGGTAATACTTATATTTAAAATTGAATAATTGAAAAATAACCAAAAATAATCGTTAACTAATACATAGATACTACAGTACATATTCTATTTTATTCGATCTGAAAATTTGGTTTGCGTCCATTTGTGTCTTAATTTTTAATTTTTTTTTTTTTTTGTAGTTAGTTCCAATAGAAATGTTGATATAATGGACTCAGATATTGACGAAAACTATTATTAATAATTCTAATTTTCGTTATTATTCTTACGATGATTTTATATACATAATTAAAAAATAGAGGTCCATTGAATCCTCACTCCATAAAATCAAGAAGATACCTACTTGACATTTTGAAGGCTCGATACGAAACTGAACCATGGGAGCCACAATACACAAAATGAGTTGAATAAATCATTTTAAAGTTTTTACAAAGACTTTAGTCTATAAGTTCACGAAATCATATAAAATTTAACCAGGCTAATAGTGAGTGGCTTAAATCTGAACTAAAATTACCAATATTAGGACAAAAAAAAATTATAGAAAGGCCCAAAATAAACTTCGAAAATAGTTGTGAAAGATGAAAATGGAATAAAATTAAAACATTAACAAACAATTTGTACATAATATCATATATTACGAAAAAATTTACTTTTAAATTAAAAAATGTATATATTCGTATTACAATTCAACGGGTGTAAACAAATATTTCTTTTTTCTAAATATTTTTTCCAGTATCTTAGATCTATTTAATTTTAATTATTGTGATAAAATAA